TAACTAGGATTCCTATATTTGGATCACCAATAGAGCACTACAGAGTATCCTCTATACAGGCTGGATGCAAAAAAAAGCTCATTTAAAAAAGGAATAAAAAAGAAACATGCAAAACATATTTCGAAAAAAAAAAAATTCAGAGGTTAGAATAAAGTTAATCTTTACAGACAAAATAACTAACACAACTTACCCATTTCTGGAGATGTACAGGTACTCTTCAAAGTCACCATGGTATCAAAACAACCAGTTAATTTCAAGCCAAGAGTGAGCCAAATCAACATTAAAAGAGATGAAACCTGTTGTATAACAGAGAAATGGTTGAAAACAAGTTGGAAAATTTTGCATACTTGAAGATAGAAAGATCAGAAATGTGTTGCTTACCCACATGACATGTTGTTGTCCTCTTCTGTTCAATATGTGGTTGTACACGCACAGTGAACCAATGTCCGATTCTGATCTTACACAAAACAAATCAAACATTGCATCTATGCCATGCAGACTGATCTAATAACATCCAATGTGAAGGCTTGACTAACAAAACTAAAGTCCCGTGCATCTCCTCTTTCAAGTCTTCAATTCCCAAGACATATTTGCTCTGATAAGTTATCTGCCTACACCCACCCACTTTAGTAAATTGTCATAATTTCCCCATCCTGTTTTTTTTTTTTTTTGTCATTTATTAACTTGTTCTTTCTTCTTTTTCAGCTCCATCCTAACCCATCCGCTAATTTCCCAGTTGGATTCAAAAACACTTTCTAACATACACACATAAATCTTCAATTAAAAGTTTACGTTTCTATTTGATTTCTTTTGATTGTTTTTTTTTCAGCAGGGCTGTAAATTAGCCTATGTTACATGTTAAAGCACTCAAAAAAACGCAAACTACAACATTCTCTCCAGTGGAAGATTATTAATTTTTCCAAGTTAGATCTTGCCATTAATGACATGTTGGCCGTTACAAGATGGCGGATATTGTGCTGTCCAAAAAAAAAAAAAAAGAAAATTATATGATATCTTTGACATTGTGAGAAATTGTCATTTTGATGACAACATGACAGTATAAAAAAGATGATATTATTATGTTAAATGTAGAAGAAATTATCATTATCAAAAATAAATGAATAAAAATGTTTTACTCAAATCAGTAAATATAGGCGTAAATCCAGAGAAATTAAGAATAGGCAATTCGTCTTTTGTTTTCCACTTCATTATTATTGTTAATACTCAAAATTCTTCATTTACATTAAAGGCTTGGAATCCACAAGAAAAAAATATATTTATAGTAAATCATGTTTTTAACCATTATACCATTAATATTTCTGCAAATCTAGAAGTAGATTTCTAGATCTACTATAGTGAACTCATAAACTAGGAAATACTGTAGTTTGTACTACAGTAAACAATGACTTTTAAAATGTACAGAAAACTTTATAGTTTAAATTACTGCTGTTTTATTAACACAGCAACTATAGAACTGACACAGAAAATTATTTTCAGTATAGTATGGTTCAGAAACAAGACAGTTGTGTATTTATAATATCCTGCATATGGAAAAACAGCATATGAAAAATATCTAAAATACTTTAGTAGTTCCTGCTGAAAAGCAATGCGTGTTCTGGCAAACTTTTGATGCTAGTTTTTGTTGGTCCCTTGCTGGTCAGAAATAGAAAATAACCAGCAAAAAAACAAGCAAAAGCAAGCAAACCAGAATCTTATCAGCATAGACTTTTTTTCAGCAA